CTCTAAATATATGATGCAAAGTTGGCAGAATTAAAGGGAGAAATAGACGGTTATACAATGATAGTAGAATATTTTAATGTTCTGCTTTCAATAATAAACAGAACAACTAGATATAAGATAAGCAAGGAAATAGACAACTTGAAGAACACTATAAACCAACTACACCTAAAAAATATGCATATATAGATCACTTAATCCAACTACCAACTACAGCAAAATACACATTCTTCTCAAGTGTACATGCAACATTCCCCAGGATAGACCATATACTCACTTATGAAAAAAATCTCAAAAATTAGAAAGAAATACTAGAAAATGTCTTCTTCAAAAATAATGGAATGAAATTACTAATAAGAAGACATTATGGAAAATTCATGAATATGTGGAATTTAAGTAACATGTTCTTAGACAATGGATCAAAGAAGAAATCTCAAAGGAAACTAGAAAAAAACTTTGACATCAATGAAAACAAAACACAACATACCAAAACTTAAGGGATACATTGAGAGCAGTCAGTGCTCAGAGGAAAAAGTATAGCATGAAAAAAGAAGATCTCAAATCAATAACCTAACCTAATCTTACAATGAAAAAACAAGAATAAAATAAACCCAAAGGTGATGGAGAAAAGGAAATAAATAATCATTAAATTTGAGATTAAGAAAAAAGAGAACAGAAAACCAATAAAGAGAAACAACTAAACAAATGTTGGTTCTCTAAAAAGATCAACAAAATTGACTAATCTTTAACTAGACTAAGAAAAAAAGAGAGAAGACTCATATTACTAAAATAAAAAATGAAAGTAGGACATTGCTATTGACCTTACAGAACTAAAAGAATTATGAGAGTATATTACAAATGATACACTAATAAATTTGATAACCTAAAGAAAATAGATAAGTTCCTAGAAATACACAAACTACTAAAACTGATTCAAGTTCAAGAAGAAATATAAAATCAGAATAAGTCTCTAAGAAGTAAAAAGATTGAATTGGTAACTAAAAAAAAAAAAAAACTTCCCATAGAGAAAAGCCCAGGACCAGATGGTTTCACTAGTAAATTCCACCAAACACTTGAAGAAATAACAATTTTCATCAAACTCATCTAAAAAATAAATGTAAAGAAAGAAAAATACAGGTGAATATCCATTATGAATACAGACACAAAAATTCCCAGTGAAAAACTGTAATGATGGCTCTGTGCGTCCCCTGAATTCTCCCCACCTGGGCCAGGATCTCTGCTCACATAGGTGCAAATGCAAACTAAAGGGGGCATGTTTTTAATTTGCACATTTATTCTTACCTAACCCCTCCCAAACTTCCTGTGCCATCATGCTTCCTCATTCAAGTTAATGACACCCTCATTATTCAATTATTTCAGCCAAACCCCAAAACTCACCCATTTGTTTTCACTTGTCCCACATCTATCAGTCAATTCTGTTAGCTCTATTTCCAAAATTTATAACAAATATGTCTAGCTTTCTCCATATTTCTGATACTACCCTTGACAGCATAATATCAGTGTCACCTGGATTACTAAAATAGTATCTTAATTATTGTGATTCCACTCTTTCCACCCTCAAATCCTTTTTCTGTGGAGCAATAAGAAATGTTCTACTTCCAACAATGTCTGACTAGGGTGCTTTAGAGTAATTCCTGAGAAAAATAAGAAAAGCTCAACAAAATACATTTTAAAACACTGTTTAAATGCATTAGAGATTTCATAAGTAAATAAGAATTTGCAGGATCAGCATCTGGAAGAAGAGATGAACCAAGAAAGGTGAGTGTGACATATAGGACAGTTTTACCTGTCAAGGCAAGTACTGATTCTGAAAGTGACACCTGGAATGACAGGCTGAGAGGCTGATCAGAGCTCCTGACATGCTCATGGGTTATAGGGGTGGAAGCGGGAGTTTAGGGACCACCAAAGACACTGGCCCTGGTAAACAATCCTGGCTTTTGGTTGAGGACCTAAAGAGCTATACACCTCAGGAGTAAAGGTGAAACAGAAATAGACAAGCCCTCACAAAGATTGAAGCACAACCCTCCACCATGTAAATGAATGTTGCATGCATTATGCTAAGTGAAAGAAACAAACTATAGACTCAAAAGGCTCTATGATGTATAATTCCACCCAAATGACATTCAAGGACATACAAAACTTATAGCTACAGAAAACAGGTCAATGTTGCTGGGATTTAACGGTGAGGGAAGAATGTGACTGCAAAGGGGTAGCATGAGGGAATTTGTAGGTTGTTTATTATTTTTCTTGGTGGGGGAAGGTGATAAAACTGTCCTGTATCTGGGCTATGGTGGTAGTTACACAACTCTATGCATGTGTCACAACTCATAGATTTTTATGAGAAAGAGTAAAGTTTACTGTAAGTAAATTAAAAATAAATTTAAATTGATAAAATCAATTGTCTTTCTGTATACCAGCAACAAATTAAAAAATTAGGTTAAAAAATTTTGTAACAGCACCAAAAACTATTAAGTACCCTAGGACAAATCTTAAAAAAAACCCAGAAGACCTCCATGCTGAAAGCTACAAAATACTACAGACAGATTTGAGAAGACCTAAGTAAATAAAAAGATATACCATGTTCATGAATGGAAATACTCCAATATTACAAAAATATTAACAACCCAATTGAAATCCAGGACTTTTTAAAAAATTAACAGAATGATTCTAAAATTATATGGAAATGTAAAGGGCCAAGAACAGCAAAAACAATTTAGAACAACAAAGTTTGAGTATGTCAATATTCTTCTGTATACCAATATTTATCATGAAACTACAATAAGACAATAAGGAACAAAATAGGGAGTCCAGAAGATGACCCTTGATTTACACATATAGAGCCTCTTGATTTATTATAGAATTTTCACCATGGAGCTGAGGTAAAGTTGCAATCTTTTCAACAGGTGATGCTGTTCAGTTGGAATTATATAGAAAAAATCAAAACTTAGCTCCTACTTCACATTATACACAGAAGTCATTTCCAGTTAGTGAATAACTATAAACATTAAAACAAAAAAAACTACTAGAAAGCAACTTTGGAGAATATCTTTATGTTGTTTGAATAAGGTAATATCTTAAATAGGATACAAAAAACTAATTATAAAGAAAGTGAAAATTGGATATTAAACTTAACAACTTGTTTATCAATATACACCATGACCAGTGCAAAGGTGGGAGAATCTTTTGCACCAGGTATTCCTGACAAAGTCTTATATCCACAATATATAAAGAATTCTAAAATATAAATGAAGAAAAGGCAAACAACCAGTAGAAAAATGAGACAGTAGATGAGAGACCCAAACAGGTGCTTTGCAAAAATGAATATTCAAAATGGTCAATGAACAACTGAAAAGGTGCTCAATTTCTATAGCGACCAGTGAAATGCAAATGAAAAACCATTTATAGAATGATAATAATAAAACTGATTGACTACCGAGCATTGAGAATGTGGAGCCACAGGAATTCTCATACACTGCTGGCAGGAGTGGCACTTGACACCACCATTTGGGAAAACGGTCTCTACTAGGAGCTAAACATATACATACTCAATGACGGCAATTGCATATCCAGGCATATATCAACCAGAAATAAGGACATATAGCAACACCAGCACAATTTGTCGTTACCAAAACTATAAACAACTCAAATATTCATCTACATTACAATGCACAATTTGTAGTGCATTCACACAATAGGTTGTTATACAGCAATGAAAATGAGCAAACTACATGTAACAACAATATGGGTAGATCTCACAATTATAATGTTGAGCAAAAGAATCCAGACACCAATGGATCTATACTGAATAGATCCATTTAAATAAAGCTAAAAATAAATTAAAAGCTAACTTTGGTGTTAGAAATCTTTCTGTTGGGGAGGCGCAGGGGGTTACTAATTGGGAGGGTACAAGAAGGGACTTCTAAGGAGCTGGTAATGTTCTATTTTTTGACTTGGTGATAATGGGGTATATTCACTTTATGGTACTCACTGAGCTATATACACTGAGGGTTTGTTCATTTTTCTGTGTTTATACACTATGTATTTTTAAAGTTAAAAATAAAAACATAAAAGATATATTTTAGGTGTTTTTAAAAAGCTGTAAGTCAGATGATGTCATGTTCTGTCTTCAGGTAATGGAATGACTTCCTCTAACACTAACAAGGCTACTTGATGTGATTTTTGCCTACCCCTCTGTCCTCTATTTACATCACTTCTTCATCATGAGCTGCTACTATTATTTTTCCTCACACAAACCAAGCTTGTTCTTGTCTCAGGGCTTTTGTACTTGCTCTACATTTGCTTGATGTTCCTTCCCCATCCCTCTGTGGCTGCCTATTTCTTATCCTTCAGCCCCTAGTTAAATATTATCTCCTCAGGACTGCCTTTCCTGACCTGTCTACCTAATGAAGCACATCCCACCCACTTCCTAGTCACTCTCCATCCCAGGGGTTGGTCAACATTTTCTATAAAGGACCAAAGTACAAATATTCTAATATTTGCAGGCCAGATGGACTGGGTCACAAGGACTCAAGACTTCTAGCAGGGTAAGCAGCTATAAATAATATGTAAATGAATGGGTGTGACCAGGTCTTAAGAAAATCCTACTTATGGATTTGACATTCAAATTTTATACCATTTCACATGTCATGAGAAAGTCTCCTTTTGATTTCCTCCGCAGCATTTGAAAACATAAAAACCATTCTTAGCTCACCCATAAAAAAAGGCAGACAACAGGGCCCAACTGGCACATGGCCCTAAATTGCCAGCCTCTGCTGTAACCCATTACACTGATTCTTCTTCCTAGCCTTATCACTGTCTAAAATGATTTCAGGTATTCTTGCGTTTATCTTCTATCTTTCCCCTGCCCAAGAATTCCGGCTTCAACAGGGAGGGTCTCATCTATTTTCTTTACCATTGTGTGTCTACTACCCATCACAGCATCTGACACACAGAAGCTGGAGGAAAGGAAGGCCCAAGCCCACCTGGGTGTGACTGGGGATTTGGCTTGGATCTTGATGGTCTTCTTGTCAGTGGGGCTTACAGGAGCAGACCCAGGATCTTCCTTCGAAAACTCTCCAAACGAGGACTCTGGTTGGGCTGACTGATATCGTGATGCAAGGGATTCTGCTGAGTAGCGACTTTGCTTGGTGCCTCGCTCAAGACTGAACCAGGATTTCATTTTGATTCGACTTATTTCTACCTCTTCCCTTATTGGATATTCTATGGTGAGCAAGCCTGTTAACAAAAGACACTTCTGTTACTCTCCCCTGTGGCCTGTCCTTATCTCCCTGTTGTAAGGTCCTGTAAGTGGACACCCTTTGGCTCCTCTCCCTCTCCACTCCTTCATTCTTGTAGAGTCTCCCACTGGCTGCCTGCACTCTGTTGCCTGGCACAGGGGTCTAGTACAGTTACTGGATTAGTAAATACTAGCTAAATGTAAGAATGAATCAACCTCTCATTTCCATTCATTTATCAACATCCAGCTTAGATCCTTCTTCTCCTAAGGGGCCTGTATTTCACTCAGCTTTGTGTCCTCCACAGCACTCAATGTAGAGACTGGGTACACAATGCATCCATGCTCTTCGCTTCCCTGAGAATGCTGTTCCCCATGTCTTCATAGTTAAGTAATTTCCATCTACTTTCTTTGTTATATTGTATTTATTTATATTCTTATTTTACTTTCCCTATTAGACTGGAAAACTTCTGAGGCCAGAGAACCCTCATTCCTCCATTCACGTACCATTTATTGAAGGATGGGTGCTGGGCACACAGAGACCACCCAAAACAGGGTTCTCTGCCTCTGAAAACTCCTAGTACAGTAAAGGAGGGATGGACAAACAGAAATATTTACAATGCTAGGTAGTAAGATTTATAATTCAAGCACATATAAAGTGCTGTGGGAGCCCAGAGGAGAGTATGCCCCGTTCTTCTGGGGGAATCTGGGAAGGCTTTCCATAGGAGTGGCGCAGTTGAACTGATTCTTTAGGGATGAGAAGAAACAACCCGGGGAGGCCATGGGGGGAGCACAGCCCCTCCATTCCCAGCCAGGGGTTGGCATGGAATGGTGTGGGGTTAGGGTTGTGTCAATGTTCCTTTGTCCCCAGGCTCATCAGTAGTGAGAAGAGTCCAGATGTGGGCGGGGTTCTAAGGCTACACATGCTAGACCTGGGGAGCTCTGTGGGCCTAACAGGATAGCCTGGTGAGGTGGCTGCTTTTTTCTTCTCTGATAGATCTTCCACAACAAGGAGAGAGAAATGGGGCTGCAAATGGGTGATGGACAATATAGTATATGGAGATGAAAGGTGAACCAGAGGTGGAGGTGGGGACAGAGAGACATACAGAAAGATGATGAGGCCCAGGAAAATAAGATAATCACATGAAGACATTAAACACACATGGTAGAGCTCTCATAAATTGAGGGCGGGCATGAGCATAAGTTTGGGTGGGGCTGCAGTGTCCCACAGTGGGGCTCTAACAGGAGCATCTATATTGCTGCCAGAAATCCATTTTTCTCATGCCATAGAATAAATTTGTCTAGGCTCAGGAGTTTGCCAAAAAGAAATAATGCAGAATGAGCCATTTGTCTGATGCTGGGGTAAAGGCCCAGAGCTTCCTTGGCCAGTGCTGCCTTCCTCCCTGATGGGCTTTAATGGCCCTGTGGGATAACCAGAACCTCAGGCTTATAAATTCTCCCTCAGATGAGAGTAGGCTTCTCTTATGAGCCCAAAGTTGGAGCAGGCAGGACTGATATCCTTGTCAGTACAGTGACAGACATCCTTAGGTGAGGTTTAAAAAAAAAAGAGAGAATAGGACTTCTGGTCAAGATGGAGGCCAGGGACACGGAGTGGCATGGAGAGGTGGCTGAATGGGCGGTCCCACATTCACATGTGGTGGATAAAAATCATGAGGGATACCTCAGGAGTGAGGGATCCCAGCCGTAAACCAGACAACTCAGCCTAGAGTTCCAGTGCCAGGAAGATAAGTCCCCATAACTTCTGCCTGTAAAAACCAGCAGGGGTTGGGGCAGCAGAAGAAAGTGTGGGATTTTCAGAAGTCTCTTCTTAAAAAGCCTGCAACAGGCTTAGAACTTATGCAGACCCCCCCCTGGGATTCAGCACCAGGGCAACAGCTGGAAGGGCACCAGTCACTTATAGGGAGAAAGTGAAGTGACTGGAAAATAGGGTGAGTACCAGGAGACAGCTTCCTCCCAGACAACCCTTGAGAAGCCAAGAAGTGGCTTTTGGCACCCTGAGCTCAGTAATCCCATTGACCAATAGGGAAATCTCCATGCCATGCCCCCCTGCCTGGGGTGGTAAAGAGCTGTCCTTGGAGAAGACTTACAGGTAACTCAGGATTTGGGAAGCCATCAAACAGGCTATCACCAAACCTTCTGCCCCCTTACCTGCTGCCAGTAAGATAGAATTCATGAACTGAGACACTGTCTTCTGAAACCGCTTCTTGATCTCTGCCAGGGCTCGGCTGATCTTAGACATCTTTTCATCCATGAAGCTGATCTTGTGGGTCACCTGAGGAGAAGCCAAGGACAGGGCATCATTACCTGTACTGCCCGGGGCCATCTGCCCAGACCAGTGAAAACCAGGCTTTGTTCTCTCTTGGCAGATGTACTGTTGTCCCCTCTGCCTAGGACACGCCTCTCTCCCCGTCAGCTCAGTGAATTCCTGCACAACAGTCCAGTCTGATTCAAATGTACCCTTCTTGGAGGGCTTTCCCTGATTCTATTGGGCAAAACTGTTCCCGGCTTTGGACCCCCATTATCATGCACCCTAAAGACAGAAGTTAGCCCTTTAGGAAGTAATCTGAAAGCATTTGAGCCTGTGTCCCCCACTCAACTGAGGGCAGGGACTGAATCTTGGTCCCCTTTGTGTCTGAGTGCTCATCATGCAGAAAGTGTTCAATTAGTGCTTATTGCATTACAAATAACTAGATGGATAAAGGCTTCTCTAGAGCTAGTACCCCTCTGTATTCATCCCCTGGAACCCCCTTCCTCTCTCCAGCTGCCAGAGTATCTCAGCTGAAAAACTGTCCTTGGCCAAGGTTACATAGATCGACTGGTATCTGTGAGCACAAAGGCCCAGGTCTCCTGCCTCAGTTTGGGGTTACCCTGAAGGGCAATTCTGGTTCTGGGGCTCCCTGTGTGGTGGTGAGGCAACTGCCAGGGCTGCCCTGCAGTTCAAACATTCCCTCTGCCAGAGCATCAAATGGTACTGCACACCTAAGTTCAGATTCCAGAGTTAATGGCAGTCAGGGTTTGACTTTCTCCAGGAAAGGTGCCCGTTTCCTCAGCCAGCAGCAACCATTCTCCCTGTTAAATTTGCACATTTACCCCTTCTTGTCCTTTCTGCCCTGGGTCCTGGTCATTTCTACTTTCTCTATGCTAAATTCGGTCAACCCCTTAAAGGCAGGAACCATGCCTTCTACATCTCTCACTTAACCCAGAGGAGGTGCGAAAAAGATTTTTCTTCTGTGGAACTGAAGCCTCAGGTGGAGAAAGTGAGGTGAGCAGTAGACAGACTTGCTGAAGAACAATGAAATCAGTCCATATGTCCTCCTTTACCCTGTGGGCAGGACTTCTGTAAAGAATGCCCCAATTAATGGCAAAACCTCAACCATCCTTCCAACCGCTGGCCCCAGCTGCTGCTTCTGGGCTAATTTTATTTATTTATTTGTAATTTATACCCAGCCTGCTTCCAAAAAGGATTTGAGGTGGCACTCTAGGCTAATAAAGCATTTAAATTGAGACATTGCCTCGCTTCCAAAGTGCTGCCTTGATAGAAATATTTAGTGAGGAGCCAGGCCACAGGGCCGTAAAAGCTGGAACTGTCATTCTGCCTGTCGCTCTTCTTCAGGGAGATGGGTGTCTGGGGAAGCCATTTAACAAGCTTCCCTGTGACAAGGACTTTGAGGAAAGAGGCCACCCTACCCCCACCCTTAGCTTTGCTAGACTGTCATGGATTTTGCTGATGAGTGATAACTAGCCCCAAACACACACACACACACAGGATGGAGTTGAAGGGGTTGTGAAAGTCTTAGGGTGGCAGCGTGTGAAAGCTGGGTGGGCCCGCATATATCACAATACAGATGGGGAAACTAAGGCCCTAAAAGGGAAGGGACTAACCCAAGGCCCTATGGCCTCTTCCCAGCTGAGGCTCTTTGCCAGCCGCCACACTCAGCAAATTTTCTCAAGGGCTTCTTGCAGCTTTCATGATCCAAGAATCCAAAAGGAGGCAATTCTCTGAGCTTCAAGGATTTCATGTAGAAATATTTGAGAGGCTTAACTGAGCAGTTAAGATCAATGTTTGGAAATCCTGTTACCTAAGTAAATTTGATCTTTCTTCATTTGCTGCTGTCTATTATGGAGTTGTAACATGTAGTACACCTCCCTGTGCTTGCAAACAGAAGGAATTATGACCTGGATGCTTTTTGCCAAGTCAGTCTTCTTGGTCAACATCAGTGGCTGTTGTCTAGAATGCAGCTCTGTATTCAGAAGCAGTTCTAAGGTCTGTTTATCCCTATGCAAAATGTCCCCAAGACGGTTATGCTCTTTGAACTATGATGCCTTTCCCATAACTTTCCAGCCTCTGACTGCACTGTCAGTGCCCCTGGGAGCTTCCTAAGACTGCCGCCTGGACCCACAGGATCCGACAGAAATATAACTCAAGCTACACGAGCTATTTGACGCATTCCTGTAGCCACATTTAAAACATTCTTAAAAGATAAAATTTATTTTAATAACATATTTAGCAACCCCCTATATAAAAACCATGACTATTTCAATGTGGAATCTAAATAAACAATTAATGAAAGATTTCATTGTAGATTTTACATTGTCTTTTCAGTCAAAATCTTGGAAATAAGGAATGTATTTTCACTTTTGGTCTACCTCCATTGGACTTGTCCCCACACTGCAAGTGCTCAATAGCCATTTGCAACTTGTGGCTACCCTGCTGGACATCACAGCTCTGGATTTCTAGTTCTAGCTTGCCAAGGCTGCATTTAGGTAAGGAGAAAAATCAGTCTTGAATTACTATGGGGCTTGCCTAGGCCTAGTGGGCATGTTTAGTTCATAGACTTAAAGGGATTTCTCCTGACTGTTCATTGGGGTCTTTAGCTGCTTATGTCCTGGTTCTCAGCTGACTTCAGAGATTACCAGACAAGAGATTGCCAGGCAAACAAACCATGGCTGCAATTTTACATGAAAAAAATAATTTTCTAGTATCTATTGCCTTCAGTAAGTAAATTCATTGTTTTACACAATCCAAAAAGTTTATCAAGAAACATAAACATGTGACCTCATGCATAATTAGTCACTTAACAATGACTTTTATTTAATTTTTTTAATTTTTATTGAATTTGTTGGAGTGACACTGGTTAATTAAATTATATAGGTTTTAGGTCCTGGCCAGGTAGCTCAGTTGGTTAGAGTGTCGTCCCAACATGCCAAGGTTGCAAGTTCAGTTTCTGGTCAGGGCACATACAAGAAGCAACAAATGAAGGCATGAATAAGTAGAACAGCAAGTTAAAGTTTCTCTCTCTCTCAAATAATAAATAAAACTATATAGGACTAAGTGTACATTCTATAATATAACATCTGTATTTTGTGTTGTATGTTTACCACCCAAAGTCAAATCTCTTTCCATCACCATTTATCCCCTTTTCCCCCTCCTCTCCTTTCCATCACACCCTTTTCCCTTTTATAATCAGCATACTGTTGTCCGTGTCTATGAGTTGTTTTTTAATTTTTGCTTAATCCTTTCACCTTTTTGACCAGCCCTCTAACCCTCTCACTCTGACAGATGTCAGTCTGTTCTTTGTGTCTTTGAGTCTGTTGCTATTTTGTTTGTTTTGTTCATTAGATTTCACATATAAGTGAAATCATATGGTATTTGTCTTTCTGTTACCGGCTTATTTCACTTAGCATAATACTTTCCAGGTTCATCCATGCTGTTACAAAAGGTTAGATTTCCTTCTTTTTTATAGCCAAGTGGTATTCCATTGTATAAATTTACCACAGCTTTTTTATCCACTCATCTACTGATGAGCATTGGGGCTGATTCAAATCTTGGTCTTTGTAAATAGTGCTTCATTGAGCATAGTAATGCTTTATTCTTTCAATTAGTGTTTCTGGGTTTTTTTTGATAAATTCCCACAAGTGGAATTGCTGGGTCATAAGGTAGTTCCATTTTTAATTTCTTGAGGAAAGTCCATACTGCTTTCCACAGTGGCTGCACCAATCTGCATTCCATCAACAATGCACAGGGTTCCCTTTCCTCCACATCCTTGCCAGCATATTTTTTTATTTATTGATGATAGCCATTCTGACAGGCATGAGATGTTCTCTCAGTGTGGTTTTAGTTTTCATTTTTCTGATGATTAGTGACATTGAGCATTTTTTCACATGTCTATTGGCCATCTGTGTGTCCTCTTTGGAGAAATGTCTATTCAGATTCTTTGCTCATCTTCAACTGGATTATATTTTCTTGGTATTGGGTTGTACAAGTTCTTTCTAAATTTTGGATACTAACTCCTTATCAGTTGTATCATTGGTGAATATGTTCTTCCATTCAGTGGGTTGTCATTTTATCTTGTTAATGGTTTCCTTTTCTGTGCAAAAACATCTCAATTTGATGTAGTCTCATTTGCTAATTTTTTCTTTGTTTTCCCTGCCTAAGAAGATATAACAGAAAAAATATTGCTAAGAAAAAATGTCCAATATTTTACTGTTTATGTTTTCTTCTAGGATTTTTATGGTTTTGAGTCTCACATTTAAATCTTTAATCCATTTTGAGTTTATTCTTGTGCATGGTATAAGTAGATGATATAGTCTCATTTTTTTGGATGTATCTCTCCAATTTTCCCAATATTTATTGAATAGACTGTCTTACCCCATCGTAGGTTTTGGCCTCCTTTATCAAATATTAATTGACCATAAAGATGTGAGTTTATTTCTGGACTTTCTATTCTGTTCTATTGATCTATACGTCTACTTTTATGCCAGTACCATGCTGTTTTGATTACTATGGCCTTGTAGTATTGTTTGATATCAAGTAGTGATTCCTCCAACTTTATTCTTTCTCAAGATTGCTCTGGTTATTCACGGTATTTTGTGGTTCCATATAAATTTTTTGAATATTTGTTCTACTTCTATGAAATGCAACAATGACTTTTAGAGTTATAGCATGGAATCAAATTAATAGGATGGATACATCCTATTAATAGGATGGATACATCAATAAGCATGATCATTCATCTCAGCCCAGATGAACTCGGAATCCTGGGGTTATTTTGCTCTTTGAAGTAATGAAGTGCAGGCCGAAGTCATAGGCATCTAAGTTTCCTGGATGCTCCTAGGAGACCCCTTTAATAAACCCTGGCAACTCCTTCAGAGCTCTTATCTCTGGTGCCCCATGCCCATCAAGATGGAATACAACAGGTGTTCGTATTATTGTCCTCCCATTAGACTGAAAGTATTTCAGAGACTAGAGGGAGTAATATTTCTTTTTTACATCCCTAGCAGCCAACTTGGCACACTTTTCAGGTGTAATAAATGTTTATTGAATTAGGTCATTAATAATATAGCTGAAATGAAAATACATTGGAGATAACAGGTGCAATGCTTTCCTTCAAGAAAAACATGGATATTGTATGTTATCTTGTTCAGTTAACATGGGTCCCTAACAAATGCCTGTCTCCTGTGTCCCCAAGTAAAGTGAGGATGTTGGGCTGGCTGCTTCTTAGGGGCCATGTCCCAGATCTGTCAGCTCTGAGAGTCTATGGAGCCTGTAGTATGTGACAGTAAATGCCCCCACAGCACAAGAGCCTTGCTCAGGTTGACCATATAATTGATCATCCAAACTAGGATACTTTTGAGACTGCAAGAGCATGCTATTAATAATTCCTCCAGCTGACAGGTGTAAACAGGGACTGGCCCCCAGGAAAACTGAGGGGTATGGTCCTCCTGCTCCTAATTAAGCCTTCCTGAGTAAGCCAATACAGCAAAGTACCCTAAGTGCAATACAAGTGGCTTGCTCCATTAGTGAGCCCTTGGTCACCTCAGTCTCATGGTGTACGTCAACTGCTCTCTTTTAGATTATAAATTCCTCAGGAATCAGGGACTGTGTCCCCTTCCTCCTCTTCATTGTTCTCCTGGTGACTTGAGACCAGGCACACAGCAGAATCCATACAGACTCAGCAAGAGTAAGAACTGGACTTTCAGTCTCTGCTGTTTTCTCACCCATCCAACAGATATTTTGCAAGTACTTAATCTGAAGTAGTCCTTGTGCTGGGCCCTGGGGCAGTAGTAAAAATCATAGGGAAATTCCCAATTTGGCAGAGAATATTGGCTTGTAAATGAAAGAATGCTAGAATGGAGGTGAATCATGTCTGGGAGGCCTGTGGAGAGGGAGAGGTGGACTCTACCTGATTTGGATAAAGGGGTGAAAAAGTTGACAGTTATTCTGGTCAGCAGCATGTCTTCTTCTTCTGGTAGGAGCACCATGATTTTTCTTTAGGAAAACACTCCTGCCTCATCCTTTGCCCAGGTGTTACCCCTGGGGCTGATCACTGATGACTTCCAGGGTGGACATGACACCTGAGCCTAGTCAGTGAGAACAACACACATTCCTAGCCACAGGAAACATCTTGGGCACAGGCAGCCAGTAGAGCCAATGAAGTTGATTTTGGCACTTCTACTGTAGTACTTAAGAGAAGTCACCATTCTCCTGGGGACTTCACAGGCAGTAGAATAATGAGCTCAGAGACGCTCATGACTATCTTGTCACCATAAGGAGAGAAACTCCTTGACAATAAAGCCAAAAATGAAAAAGCAGAGCAAATGTGGAAAAGATCTGATGTAGTCAGGTGAAGGCCTCAATCCAGCCATGCCTGAAGCTGCCTATTGCCAGACTCCCATTTACTGAGCCAGTAAAGTCTCTTTTCATGCTTAAGCCAGTGTGCATTGGACTCTGTTACAACTAAAAGACTCCCAACTAATAGTAGTTTCACAGAGAAAATATAAGATCAGGCAGTGAATGATGAGTAAGAATCCATTAGGCAGAGAAGGGGGGCCTTGCAGGAACTAGAGGAGTAAGTGTGCGGGAGTGGGGTGGGGTAGGAGACACAAAAGCATTGAGAGGTGGAGTGGCAAGATAAGTTGCAATGCTCTGGGGTCAAACCTGGGTGCCTGGTTTGCTTTGCCTTACCCTTTTATCATGCCCTATCCCGTGGGGACAGTTGTTGGGTGATACAGTGAGTGTTACTGTCTCACTCAGGCAGGTGAAGGTGACCATGATGGAGTCCTGCCCCAGCACTGTCAGCTTCATTTGCTCATTCACCTGTAGATGAAGAAACCAGCACTCAGCGAACCCCTGCTTCTATTGTCCCTGCCCAGCCCAACCCTCCCTGACCCACCAACAAAGCAAAAGAACCCCCTTTTCATGGGACCAAAGGAACTATAAAATCTTTCTGGTTCTTATGTTGAAATTTAGCTTTCATGGAAAAGAGAACAATTCCAGTCTTTCTTTGGGGGCGTTAGCAAAAATTAGTAACTGATGCCTTCTTACCCACGCTCCTTCCCTTTCCAACCCAAGCTTGGGATCGACTGCAAAAGAGACGCAGGAGTTGGGCAGGCAAGATGGCTTTGGTTCTGTTCATCTGCTCAGGAACTTTTGAGCCAGCCCAGGTACATATATCTCCATTATCCCCAATCTCTCACTTTAGGTGAGGATCCAATAGCCTGGAGACATATAGCCTTTGAACCCAAACAAAACTATCTAAAACACATTGATCTTTGACCCTCTCAGAAAGTTCTGTTTTCACCTAGAAGACACGCATTCCATTGTGGAGTCATCTATAATTCCCTCCTCCTCTCACCTATCCCTTCAGCTCATGCCTGAATGCCAGTGAATTATTTTTACTGAAATGGCTCTTTTTACAAATATTGCTACTACCCTTAATCATGTCAGGTATAGCTAGTAACACTCACTAGTCTTTCTACTGTCCTATTCATTGATCTTTCTCTCTCCCGCTAACCTTCCACAGAAATGCTAAACTGAGCATGCCAGCCCTTGGCTTAAAAATTAACCAGCTGGTTCTACTTCCAGTATAGCTGAGTCAGCTTCTAAGAGGCTTGGGGGGGTGGTGGAAAACCCAACCCCAACAAGAAATAAAACCACCCACAGCTATGAAGAGTTTTAAAAGAACAGGCAGATTTTGAAGAGTCAAAATTAAAGGAAAGGACCAGCTGGGATTAGTCACTGTTTTACAGCTTTAGCCTGAAGATGGACCACAGATGTGGCCCAGACTCCACCATTTTTCTAGTTCAAAGGATAGAACCTGGAGCATCCATAGTCATACAAAAGTAAGGGAAAATATCCAGAAGGGATAGAGCCAAGAAAGATAGCCTCAAATTCCTGAATTATGCATGAGCAGGGAAGACTCAAGACAGCTTACAGCTAGGAAAACAAAACAAAACAAAAACGGAACTGAGATTTTAGGTGCTCCTCACTGCAGGTGAGACAAAGTTTGTAGTATGAGTCTAACCAAGTTCCTTGCCTGTTAAAACAAAAACATCAACACTCTTCAGAGAAGTGCATCAGAAATCAGAGACTCTGCTATATAATATTTACAATGTCAGCAATCTAAAATTACTCAACTGGGTGTGAAGAGCCAGCGAAGTGTGAGCCATTCTCAAGGCAACAGATCACCAATGTAGGCCATTCTTATCTGATGGGACCCCAATGTTGAAATTATCAGACAAAGACTTTAAAGCAGTTAATTTAACTACATTCAATGAGGTAAAGGAGAATATACTCATAATGAATGAAAAATAGAAAATATCAGAAATGGAAAATATAGGAGAGAACTAAATGAAAATTCTAGAACTGAAAAAATTATCTGAAATCTTAAAATTTCATAGGATTAGCATAACAGCAGAATAGAGATGACAGAATAAAGTCAGTGAACTTGGAGATAAATCCATGATAATTTTACAATCTGAAAAGTAAAGAGAGACTGGAGTCCCACATTTTTACTGCACAGTGCACCAAGACAATAGTGACACAGGTATCCTGTGTCTTCTGACTGGAGCATTTAAACCATTTACATTTAAAGTGATTATTGATAGGGTCTAGAAGATGACAGTGAGATAGAAAGGAGTGAAGTCCACCTCCCCCTGCACACAGGTGAAACACCTAGCCAATCGACTGAGGAACGGAGCAAACAGCCAACAGTACCTCAGCATATATGAAGACTGGAGACCAAAAACTGTAGAGGACGTCACAAAATCAGACAAACAGGTGGAAGCTGTGAACACCAGAATATTTTCTGGAAGAGGAAACCCAGCAACAAAGGAACCAGCAACAGATAACAATAGAAGAAGGTGAAGGAGGGAGTGGAAGCAACACTAACTCAACCCAGGACTTATCTGGAAATACAACTAAATAATAGGGACATTACTCAGAACAAACAACTGAACAAGAGCAAGAGAGAAGCCTCAAAACCTTGAACATACAGGAGAACCAGCTTCAACACAACCTGCCCACACCTGCACAACAGAATACAAGACGTGGTGGACAGAGTGACCCTCGGTTAACCAGCTAGTGGGAAGGACCCATCCAAGAAAGACCCAATAACAATCAAAACCCAAAGACATAAACAGAGCCAACATAAATGACAGCCCAAGACCAGTGAGCTCGGGAGATCAAGGAGACTGCACCACTGAATCTCACAGGTATTCTACCATTTAAGTTCAAACCACAAACCCAGAGAGTCAGAACAGATCGATTTGAGAAGCAGAGGCTAACAAAAAGAGTCTCACAAACAATGGGAAGACAAAGAAACAATCCCCAAATGAAAGGAAAGGAGGAAGCCTCAGAAAGAATGCTAAATGAAATGGAGGCAAGTCAACTATCAGATATTAAGTTCAAAGCAATGGTTATAAGAAAACTCAATGAGCTCACAGAGAATTACCAAAAACTACAGGAAAACTACAATGAACTCACTGCAAACTATATCAACATAAAAAAGGAAACAGAAACTATCAACAAGGGCCAAGAGGAACTGAAGAATACAATTTCTGAACTGAAGAACACAGTGGAAGGAATCAAAAGCAGGCTTGATGAAGCAGAGAATTTGATCAGTGAGCTGGAGGACAAGGTAGGAAAAAAAACACTCAGAAAGAGTGAGAAAAGGAAGAGGCTTGGAAAGAATGAAGAGGGGTTAAGGGAAATGCAGGACAACACAAAATGCAATAATATCCATATAATAGGGATACCAGAAAGAGAAGAAGAGCAAGGGATAGAAAACCTGTTTGAAAAAGTAATGATGAAAAACTTCCCTAATGTGATGAGAGAAAAGGTCACACAAATCCAGGAAACACAGAGAATCCCAATCAAGAGGAACCCAAAGAGGCCCACTTCAAGACACATCATAATTAAAATGGCAACATTCCCAGACAAAGAGAGAATCTTAAAGGTAGCAAAGGAAAAATAGGAAGTAACATATAATGAAGCCCTGATAAGACTAGCAGCTGACTTCTCAATGGAAATGCTCCAAGCCAGAAAAGAATGGCAAGAAATATTCCAAGTAATGGAGCCCAGAGGCCTGCAACCAAGACTATTTTATCCAGCAAGGCTCTCAATTAAAATGGAAGGCCAAATAAGGAGATTTCTAGACAAAAGAAGCCTTAAAGAATATACCTCCTCCAAACCAGCTCTGCAGGAGATGCTAAAGGGTTTGCTTTAAGAACAGGAAGAAAAACAGTGAAAGAGAGAGGAACACAGGTATGAAAAAATGGCAATAAACAAGTACCTATCAATAATAACCTTAAACATAGATGGATTAAATGTCCCAGTCAAAAGACATAGAAGAGCAGAATGGATAAGAAAATATGACTCACACATATGCTGCCTACAGGAGACCCACTTCAGAATAAAAGGCCTCCATAAACTGAAAGTGTCAAGGGCTGGAAACAAATATTCCAAGCAAATGGACAGGAAAAAAAAGCTGGGGTAGCAATACTCATATCGGACAAAATAGACTTCAAAAAAAGAGCCATAAAAAGAGACCCAGAAGGTCACTTCATAATACTCAAGGGACGATCCATCAAGAAGACATAAACATTGTAAGTATATGTGCACCAAACATAGGAGTACCCAAATACATAAAGAAAATCTTGGAGGACTTCAAGAAAGATATTGACAGCAATACAATTATAGTAGAAGACTTTAACACCAACTGTCAAAACTAGACAGATCTTCAAAACAAAATATCAACAAAGATATTGTGGCATTGAGCCCTGGCTGGTGTAGCTCAGTGGATTGAGCACGGGTCTGCGAACCAAAAGATCGTGGTTCGATTCCCCATCAGGGCACATGCCTGGGTTGCAAGCCAGTTCCCAGCAGGAGCCAGTTCCCAGCAGGGGATGCACCAGAAGCAACCATACATTGATATTTCTCTCCCTCTCTCCTTCCCTTCCCTTCTAAAGATAAATAAATAAATAAATAAATAAATAAATAAATAAATAAATTTAAAAAAGAAGAAAAAATTGAAAAAAAGATATTGCGGCATTGGACAATGCCCTAGATGAAATGGACTTAACTGATATATATAGAGCCTTTAATCGCAAAGAAGCAAAATACACATTCTTTTCAAATGCATACAGAACATTTTCAAAGATATAACACATGATAGGGCACAAAACAAGCCTCAACAAATTCAAGAAAATTGAAATCATATCAAGCATTTTCTTTAACCACAAGGGACTGAAACTAGAAAACGACCTCAAGGGAAAACCCCCCAAAACACTCAAAGTCATGGAGATTGAATAGCATGCTATACACAATGAAATTCTATGCAGCAGAAAGGAAGAAGGAGCTCTTACCCTTTGCGACAGCATGGATGGAACTCGAAAACATTTTGCTAAGTGAAATAAGCCAGGTGGCAAAAGATAAATACCATATTATCTCACCTTTAACAGGAACCTAAACAATAAAACAAACAAGCAAAATATAACCAAAGACACTGAAATAGAGAACAGGCTGACAGTGACCAGAGGGGAGAGGGGAGGAAATTTCAGGGGAAAAGGGAAAGGGTTTACAGGAACAAGTATAAAGAACACATGGACAAAAACTAGGAGGAAGGTGGAAATAGGAGGGAGGTGAGGAGGGCTGGGTGGGTGGCCTGGGATGGGAGTAAAAGACAGAAAACTGTACTTGAACAATAATTAAAATAAAAGAAATTTAAAGAAGAATGAGATTAGGGAAGAAATCAAAAAGTTTCTGGAAATAAACAAAAATAAACTTGCAACAATCCAAAATTTATGGGATATGGCAAA